ACAAGTGCAAAGACAATAAACTATTTTAACGTTACATGTAAACAACTTAATTATAGTTCTAAATAAAAAATATATATTACCTGTAAACTCAAGGAAAAGCGATGGCTGGATTTGAATGAAGTATGTGGATGATCTGTGTTCAAAACAGTCCATAAAAAGGACTTTTAGCACTAGAAGACGTAATAATAACTCTATAACTTGGTAATGAAAAAACTTACTAGTATTTGAAGTCACCATGAATGGCAGGGCTTTAGACAACTCTTACGATGTCCATTATACAAGAAAAGATAGTTCAAATGCTGTCAAAAGCAAGTCAAAAGTGCTTCTTTCTTCATTCCCGGTTTATTAATTGATTTGGGTGTGGTTTTACGTGGTGGGCGTGGTTTCATTTACTTCGTGAACGGGCATGACACGGAAACATTGAAAATAACTTAAAATGGCTTTTTCTCTGTACTAGTATTCCAGAGCAATCGTCCAAACAGCGTCCCTAACTTCCAAATTTTATTGCGCATTGTCATAAACGGGATATTGCTGGAAAGGAAATTTTTTTCTCTATCTGTGAGTACCAAAAACTGATTTTACCAAAATCCCGCTGATAGCCTGGTTTTCTCATATCGGGTCACAATTATTATTATTATTATTGTTATTATTATTGTCACTATTATTATGAGTGAGAAAGGATTATTATTATTATTATCATCATTATTATTATTATTATTATTTTTATTATTATTATTATTATCATTATTATCATTATTATTATTGTTATTATTATTGTTATTATTATTATGAGAGTGAGAAAGGATTATTATTATATTATTATTATTATTGTTATATTATTATTATTGTTATAGAGTGAGAAAGGAATAATATCATTATTCCAATTATTATTATTATTATTATTAATAGTTACTTGTACAGAAGGAGAGGGTCAGAAAGAATGTACAGTACAAAAGAGAAGTGCACCACGTAATTAAATTGTTGTTTTTGTTGTTTTTGTTTATATTATTATTATTATTATTGTTATTGGTTACTCGTTCACAAACAGAGGATCAGAAAGATACAGTAGTGCAGTACAAAAGAGAAGTGCACCAAGTAATTCAATTGTTGTTGTTTTTGTTGTTTTTGTTATTATTATTATTGTCAATAATTAGTTATTCGTAGACAAAGAGAGAGTCAGAAAGATTGTACAATATGATAGAGAAGTGCACCAGGTAATAAAATTATTTTATTATCATTATTATTATTATTATTATTATTGTTATTAGTTACTCGTACACAAGTAGTGGGTCAGAAAGTTATTACAGTACAAAAGACTGAAGTTCACCAGGTAATTAAATTGTTGTTGTTATTGTTATTATTATTATTATTAATATAATTATTGTTAGTTACTCGTACACAAGGAGAGGGTCAGAAAGATAGTATAGTACAGAAGAGAAGTACACCAGGTAATTAGATTTTGTTATTATTATTATTATTATTATAATTATTATTACTATTATGGTTAATAATTGTTACTCATACACCAAGAGAGGGTCAGAAAAATAGTGCAGTACAAAAGAGAAGTGCATCAAGTAATTAAAACAAAACCTTACGAGTAAAACTTTTTACATACCATATAACTGTTTCATACATCATTTATTGAAAAAATTCGCCATTTCTTGTTGTGGGTATTATACAGTGTAATTGTATTTGATGTAATTTGTCTATGCTGTCTTTACTACCTATACTACATGTATATACCTGTATTGGGCAAATTATCAGCATAGAAAAAAAACATTTAATGGATGCCTATTTATTAACAAAATGTGGCATGCACCAATGGAAATGTTTAGTTTTGCCTTGTGAGCATTTTTGCCTAACTACATTTGTTAGAGTGTCTACATGTAGATTTATGTTTATTAAACTTGAAGTTATATGTGTGTACCTTAATAGGTCCGTAAAAACTTGGCTGAGAGTACTAATACTAGTACAAAGTTAACAGCTCTACAATTTTTTGTTTTTATTTACTGATTGTTTTATGTTGTTATTTTTAATGATCAATTTTTTATTCTTATTTTTAAAAGTAATATGATTATACAGATAAAACAGTATTAATGTTATAATTTCAATGATTAATCAGGCAAATAGTAAAGAGTTAATTGGAACAAGATATTTTTGCAAGTTAGAATAGTAAAATAGTGAATCACCACCGTCTTCAAAAGTCATGACCTCTCCACAATGACCTTATCCCTTATATCATAGGTTTGTTGCTTACCTCACAGGTGTAAAGGAATAAA